CCCCAAAACCCCAAAACCCCAAAACCCCTATCTAAGTGCTAAATATTGAAACTTGTTATGTAAATTATAATAAAAAAACACCCAATCATCATTTATTGGGAGTTACAAAAATGTAAGGAAGAGCCATGCTCGCCTCTTGTTTACTTGGAGTACTCAAACTTCCGATGCTGGCCTTCCTTACGTGTAAGCTGAGCTACAAGTCTCCTTGATCTCTCGTTGCCATAATCTAAACCAGAGGTAATCTTTGCTAAATCCTGGTTGAAATGTTTGATCTTCTTCTTTGAGGAATTTAGCTTTGGAATTCTAATCCTAAAACTGCTTATGTGAAGTGTCTGGAGTGACCAAACTTTCTTGAGTAAATTTAATAAGATCCCTCTCTTGTTGTGTTAGAATCAACGACATCATGGCCTTGAGCTCATGAACGGCTTGGCCGATCACTACAATGTCAAGGTCATTCTTAACCTTCTTCTCTGAGATAGCAAGGATCTTGGAGATATCAGGAGTTTTCTCCTGATCCTTGCAACTTTGGACAATTTTCCTGCAGCAGAGGGCATCAATGCAGTTGTATCTTATTTTCCTCTTAGCTTTTATCTCATTGAGGAGGTCTTTCTCCACCCAATTTCCAAGGTAGTCTAAGGAGCCCTCCTCAGTTTTCGAAGAAGTGGGTGGACTCTTCCTTTCTTCAGAGTATTTTGTGCCACTTCGGGATTTAAAAATATCATCAAATTTCTCAGATGTTGATTTTGTGAGGAACGGACTAGGTTGCTCCCGCATGGTGTATTTCTTAAACAAAGATGGTCCAATAGGCGATTCTGAAATATTGGAGGTATTATCAGTCTTGGAGCGATAGTAAGGATGCTTTTCCTCTTCCTCTTCATCCTCATATTCGATATCTCCTTCATTGTCATCGTCAGCTTGGCTCTCACCTCCTTCGTAATTTTGATAATATTTGGAACTTTCAAGATCTCTCCTTGGCCTTTGTTCAGGATTTTGGGAGCGGTTATCCACTGAAATCTTGGTATGGTAAAGTGCTGAGACGAGGGAAAGCAAGAATAATCTTTCCTTGAGCTTGCAAGTAAAAAGTATCCCTACAAGATTGAGGATTTCATAGAGCCCACCCACTTTGGCAAGGAGATCAAAGATGTTAAACACAGTCCTAACAATTTCCTCTTCCTGTTTATTCATGACGATGAAAAATTCAGCTGAGTAGGATGCCCGTGTGCCTGCTCAGTCATATGAGGAGTCTTCCTCCAGATTAAACGTGTGAAACTTTTCTGTCTTGCTCATCCAGGAGAGAAACAGGTTGTCGTAAAGTGTTGCAGAATGATTCTTAAACGAAATATATCGATGATGACAAGTCTCTTTCATCAAGTAAAGCCTATTGTTAGAGTCGATGCTTGATTTTATAGGCGCTTCAAATTCGTTCAAGTCAAGGTAGCTGTTTACTGTTGTCAAGGTGAAGATAGCATTCTTTAATCGGCTTGTAGACCACCACTCCCAGCTTAGGTTTGCAGCACGGATACGAATGTTAATAAACTTATACTCATTCGAGATCTCTGTGCCACTAATCACCATATTTTGGTCTTGCTTAGGACACCATAGGTGATCTTCATATTTGGTTCCATTGAGACGATGGTTAGGGTCAATGTTATTCAGCTGGTCGGAACATCTCTCTACCTCTAACTGTTCATATTTCGTACCAGAATCCTCTGAAGGATTTAACAAGTTAGTGCCTTGGTAGACTTCAAATTTGAACAGGTCGTCACTCTGAGGAATAGGCTTCTTAGTGTCTTTGTCTAATAAAATAAAGGCGAATCGAGACTTGCTTTTGAAATTAAATTCCTTAGGGTCATTGGTAAAGTCATTCACTTTCGTGTTACTCATTACCCTCGAGTCTTTATTTATTAAACAGCACAGAGAGCAAGGATGCAAAGTAGAGAAGTGTAACTACCAAGACTAAGATGGTTAAGATTCCTCCCAAATGCGTCTTAAATTCTTGTTTCCCCTTGAAGTAGAGTCTGGGAGTTTTGTAATATTTATCAACAGCTTTTATGCTATTTGATGAAAATTTTCCGATTTTTCCCAAAATGCCCATATTTTAAAATTCAATATTTTTGATATTTTTAGGGGTTTTGGGGTTTTGGGGTTTTGGGGTTTTGGGG